ATGGAAAAAGGATACTTACCTTGTAGTGGTAAATAAGGGAACTCATGTAAATGCTTCCCACTAGGATTGACACATAGTATGGAACCGGTGAATGGTACCTAATGCTATGGAATCAGGAGTTTTTGTTTACTTCTTTGATCCCATCTCCTACCACATTTACTGAGCTCCAGCCAGCCATGTCAAGTGCATTCCTGCCCCCAGTGCCCTTGTGTTTGCTATTTCCTTTGCCTGACTCATAAGATCAAGGATTCTTGTCCCTAGGGAGCTCACCTCCTCCTTTAAGTCACTCCCAGCTAACACACTATCTTGCCCATTTCCATGTTTTAAGTTCCTTATAACACATGCCAATGTCTAAAGTTATCTAATTCATGTATATATGTTTCCTTATTGATTTTCTGGTGCTTAACAAGAGAGAGCAGAGAACTTTTCAGTATTGTTTATTAATAGATTTGTGGCAACAGACCCGGACTCATAGCAGGTGCTCCAAAAATATCTGTTTCTCTGAATAAGATAAACAGATAAACATAGTGCTGTTGAAAGAGTTAAACCATTTAACAAATAGGAACCACCTAGCACACATTAACCACCAAATTAGCACTAGTTTTTCTCCCTTGGATGAGTCTGGAGATGGCTAATCCAAAGTGAAATCAGATAATATGGAAAGAAAGCAAGAAAGGGCACAATTTCCCAAGGAACGGGTTAATCTGCAGACTGCTTTTGCAGGAGGCTTCTGGGCTCTAGTACTCTGCCTAGACAAAGCAGCTACTTCACAGCTGGTGAAGCCTCGAATTTTCATTCTAGGAGGAAGTTTCAGGAGATGTGATGCTTTCTCGATGGAGGAAGAGATTCTGTAAGTGGGAGATATGATTCAGAGGAAGGACTGTCACCTGAAAAAATAGCTTCCAACAGCATTATGAACACTGCTTCAGAAAAACTAAGAGTAGGGGGGGAAACAAGCACTATCGCAGACCTTTAGAAGATATTCCTTGCCCAGCTGTCTAAGGTTTTAGTATCATAAGACAGTTCCTCCCAGGGCATGATTTGTAATGAGGAGACATGGGGGAACCAGACCTCCCTATTCCCCTGCTTGAAAGTTCATCCTGCTTAAACTTTTCATACAGTAAGAGTCCATGTAAATGAATTAGTGTATGAAGAGAAGATTCTGATTTTAAAACCTAATTCTTGTCCACTGCACTTTATATTTGTTTAGTAAGAGTTAAGTAGGAGGCCTGGGATTAGTTCTATGCTCCCTGACTAACAGGGGTCTTTTTACTGCTATACACTCAGAGGAGATGACACCTGGATTTCACAGACACATGATCTGGGCCTCAGGAAGCTGGACTCTTGGGTGGTTCATGATATCAGAAAAATTTTTAAAAACTTTCATCAGAGAGGCACCTGTTTAATAACCTCTGGACATATGCTGTCATGCTGCCTTGAATAGCTTTCTTTAGTTTATTCCCTGAGAGTAGCTGGGCAGATCCCCTTCCTTGCTCATGGGATGACCATGTCAGAGAGATCAGTCCTAGTGTTTGAGAACTTAAAGAGGGTGTCAGGCAGACAGACAGAATATGTCTTCAGCTTCTGGCTTTCCTTTGTAAAGAAAGAAAATTCTCCAACTTCAAACAGTTACCATAGGTTCGGGGGAATGACCTGGGCTCCCAGAGATTACAGAGAAGCTCCACAGGACTGAGGCATGGAAGTTGACTTTGGCATTTTATTGCATATTCAAAATTCAGTTACTGGTTTTAGAACTTAAAATTTCCTTTAATATATAATACATATATAAACATGTACAGAATGTACTCACTTAAACATATGTATAATTTATCAATGTTTATTAATAAATAAAATGTATCAGTTAAAAAATACATATAGGCTCCTGTTTTTTCCATAACACAGTCATAGGAACTGCATTAAAAAGTAGATAATCATAAAGCCAGAGATACTTTCAATGGGAACAAAGTTAGAATGAGAGATCCTGGTACCTTCAAAGGCTTAACGTCAAATAAATCATAGACATAACTAATAATATCACACAACCCAAGATACAGCCATCATTAAAATTTGTAATCCTTTGAAGTTATCAAAATAAGTCCTATGTACTGTGTAAGGGGCACAGATGCATTTTGTATGTTGACTAAACAAAGGGATACAGTGCATTAGTGAATTATAAATTGTATGAGTGGCCCCATTTTTAATTCTATGTCATTCAAAATGTAAAGAAAATCAAGGTGTTAGTTAAAGTAATATTAAGCCATAACCAGCAATCATTTACATAGACCATCAGAGAAGGAAAAATGTCAATCATTATCTGGCTCGGTATCTTAGTAGACTCTTTATGTAATATTCTTCTTAGCTAGCTATTTGTAGACTGGTCCATGTTTGATTTTTTTTTATAGAATTTATATGCAAGGGTGCCAAAAAATCTCTTAAGAGATCTTATTGGAAATAAAATCTATCATTCCCCAATAGTGTACAAATTGTAGGTGAAATGGATGTGCAGCAACAATACCGTCAACTCAGCTTCTAAAAGTCATGTATAGATAATATCGCTTAAAATTTGTATACTTTTTTGGGCACCTTCTGTATATACTGAATTTACAAAATGGGGATGATTACAATGGCCCTCGTATTTTTTCTCCTAATACATTTTTTTAATGGAAAATCCCTTTAAATGAGAGCATTTGCAATGTATAAATCTGTGTATTGGACAACTTGAAATGATCAAATGAGGAGGGGTAGATTTGGAAAAATAGGTACCCAAAGAGTGGTCCTAGGATATTATTTTTCAAAATAGAAAAACTGTAAATTGTTTCACCTCTTGGTGAATAAATTCTTAGTCCTTGAATGGTCAGATGCATCCACAGTAATCAGAAATATCCAACATAAAAATAAACATGTTGAATGGCATTTTGTGATTGCAGAATGTTTTCACAAAAATTATCATCTGCCAAACAACTTTGTGAAGTAGGGAGAAGAGATTGTTTCTGAAGCTATAGATATTTACCCATTGTTCAATCCACCCAGAAAGTTGGAAATTAACTCAGCACCTGTCCTGGATCTACACGGTTTCCTCTCCTCACCAAAGTGCTCACGAGGCAGTAGGTAGAGTAAACCACAGCATAGCAGACTGGCCAGATCTCATCACTGGGCCCAGAGCCCAGAGCTATGGGGCTCAGAAGCTTGCTGCTCCCTTCTCTGCATCAGAATAGACCATCTTCAAAATGGGGCTTGCCTCCTTCTGGTATTCACTGAGACTAGGGAAAGCAGGGAAACAATGCCTTGAAAAATCATGGGGGACTACTCTAGCCACAGAGTTGGGGGGCAAGTTAGAACTTAAATCAACTTTCTTATTTGAAAAGAATGGATTTCCAGTCAGATCTTCTCTACTGATCAGCATGAGTCACAGCCTACATGAGGAGCATTTCAGCATGGAGAAATATTTCTTAATGGCATTCAGGAGTTCTAAATAACATTTCTCTTTCAAAGGCTATTTCCCTGTCCCAAAGGCATGAATTTCCCCTCAAGAAAATTAAACTTTCACAGGACACAGTTTTGTTTTTTTTTTTTTTTGTTTTTTTAATTTGGACAGTTGTGTAATCTTCTCTTCCTTATTTCAAAGTCTCATTCCCATTGGGTTTGATTCCAGAACTAAAGTAAACATTAATGGAAATGATAACAGATATATTATAAGAAAAAAGAGTATGATAAGTAGTCCTGAGATGCTGTCAAACCACAGCCAAGATCAAAGTTAGAACCTTACATGGCTCTGGGAAATGGCATTTACCTCTCTGGGACCTTTGCTCTCAGGTAGCTGGCAAGAGCTATGGACTGGGCTTCAAATGAAAGACACCTAGGTCAGTCTAGAGGGTAAATCTGGCAAGGTGAGAGGTCTAGAATGCCCAAATGAGAAGGGTAGTTCTTTTGAAACAAAGCCAAAAGGCAGGCAGGTCACAGCTTTTCGAGGTAGCAGACAACTATAGCAGCTTCCTGTTGTCCTAGAAATGAAAAGAAATCTTAGAAATCCCCTAGTCCAAAATTTGGTGGACAGAAGCAGAATGGGAGATCCAGAGTCAAAAGGTCTCACAGCTTATTAGGAGCAGTGCCATGGTTGCAACTTGGGTCTCTGACTTCAAGTCAAGCATCCGTTTCCCATCCCCAGCACAGCACTGCTGGGACCTGCCTTCCTCCACCTGGGGAATGGCAGGGATTGACTGATAAATCCGCATCATGTGAATAGTTCTCTCCTCTGGGAGCAACAACCCCAGATTGAAAGGTTTTCAACTGTTACTGTGGACTTCACCACAAGCATGTGGAAAAGATTCTAAAGACTTTAATAAACACCTATAAATGCTGCCAGCCCTGCCCAAGGCTCTTTAGGAGATGTCCCATTCTAGCTTGACAGGAGAATAAGTATCTTAGAGCAGGCAGCCCTAAGGCCGCGGGACGAGGGAAAAGTCGTCTGTCTTCGTTTCTCTCCAGGGTTGCTGTGGAGACCATTTTCCTCCGACAGATCTCTGCCCCGTGTCTTCCATGGAAAATAAATGGAGCGTGTCTTGAAGGGAAGGACGGGCACTGGACAGAAGGAAGAGCAAGTGGAAGTCTGTGACGGACAGGGGCCAGCCAAGGGGATGCACATTTGGACCCGGACCCGGGGAGGAAAATGTGCCAGTGTCCGGCACAGAACAGGATGAAGAAGAGTCGGGGGGAGTTTGAACATGGCTATGACAGACGTGACCAAGCAAGTAACGTGAGCTCTTGGACAACAACTCTGACCAAGACGGGAGCAAGGAGGATGTGTTTTGACAAAGTCTGCGAGCAGACACAGCCAAGACGACGCATCCGGAGACATCTATGACTGAAATAGGACACAGCAAGCGATCGTGTTTGGAACATGAGCGAGACAGATCAGGCACGGTAAGAACATGTCAGGGACACCAGAGACTGAGACAAGAGCCGAGACTCCGGGAAAAGAGAGAGCTGGGACATGACAAGTGAGCGCCACCTGCTGGAACCTCGGAGGAAAAGCCCAGGGTGCCCGGGGCACCTGCACAGGCCGACCGATCGCCTTGGGGAGAACACCGGTGCAGTCACGCGCGAGCAGTGGCCTGGGGCCTGGCCCTCTCCTGGAGGCAAGGCTGTCTTCTGGGTCAGTGTCTCAGGGGCCTATGTGTCACTGGGCTGAGCAGCCACCAAATGAGCAGTTGCTGGGGGGTGGCACTGACTCTCCCATTGGCCACCACACTCCACTGTATCCCTAGAGAGAGAAGATCATAGAACCTCAGAGTTGCAAGAGACATCATGGGTCACCTGTGAAAGAGCCCACCCTGTGCAGAAACCCTCCTGTGCCACGCACAGGTGGCTGTTTGACCTCTATTTTAGGAGTCTCCAGAGACAAACCAGGCCGTATCAATTTTGAGCAACATTAGATATTAAACTAGCCTATTACTGTTCAGCCCAAATCTGCCTCCCTAAAACTTCTACCCTAGGGAACCATGGTGCCTGCCAGGCCCACTCAAAATTCTGCCCTCTACTAAATGTATTCCCCAAGTTTTCTCTTCTCCATGGTACACATTCCTGTCTTCCTCAATAGTTCATAATATATTGTGATTTCCAGATTCCGTCTCATAATAAGCACTGTCCTCTGAACACCACCAGAGTATGATGCCCTCTCTTGAATTATGGTACTAGGAAAGAGCACAAATCTTCACGGTAAGCCTGACTTATACCATATGCTTTTCATCATCAATTTGGTTTGCATAGACAAATGAAATTCATTTCATTCTAACAATGGTAATAAACTATTAGCTTACATTGAATTTGTTACTTTTATCTTTCTGACACAACAGCTGTTGATTATTGAGGTTCTTTATTACATTGGTACAGTCAATTTTATTTATTTATTTGAGTCAAAATATAGTCCATTACATTTGTTCCAGTTAAACTTCATTTTATTGAATTGGTATCTTTTTAGTCATTTGAGATCATTCTAAATCATAACATTTCAACATTCAAGATATGATTACGTAGCACCTACTTAACTAGACTTTGATTTTCAAGCACACAGGAAAATCAAATAATCTACAGTGCTACTTAGATTTTTCAGTTTAATGTCATCTGCCTTTTAGTTTTTATTCAAGGTAAAAGGTGTAGATCAGGGCAGAGCCCAAACAGAAAATCATGATACACTGAGACAGGTTTCCTTGCAGTCAAACACTTAACACCCAGTGTGACTGAGAATGTATCAAACACTTAACACTCAGTGTGACTCCAACGCCTTGCTAAAATGCCACTGCCAAATAGAAAATCTGTCCTACCAGACAGTGAAATTATTTGGCATGAATTATTTTTGTAATGGAACAGCACTGACTCTTGCTAACAAATCATTTGGGTAATAAGTCTCTCAGAATTGTGGTAAGGTTTATTTTGAGCTATGGTCTATCATAGACTCTGTAGTTTCTAGAGTCTAGCTTTAGTCTTTTTGAAGAATTGGGGCAATGTTTATTGGTCTCCAAGTTTTCACTTATTCCCTAGTGCTAGAAGAGCACTGTTCAGAGGTATTAGCAACCAGTTCCTTTAGGCCCCTGAGACACATGGGCCTAAAATACTCTTCAACAGTCCTGGACAGCAACTTTCTTCTTATAATGTTCTCTTCTTTCCAGTTGGAAGTCTATTCTTATTGCAGCAGAATATGCAAGATTTCTTCCCTAAATAATGAGATCTAACTATTTCTGGGCTTTGAACATAGCTTTTGATTCGTCCTTGGTTATACATTCCTTCTTCCAGATTTTCCACAAGTCATTTTAAAGTGTAAGCTCTCTAGATAACTCAAGATGTGCTCTCAAGTCTTTAAATGTTCACTTACTTTTTTTCTTTTTTTTTTTTTTGAGACAGAGTCTCATTCCACTCTGGTCTCCCTGGGTAGAGTGCTCTGGTGTCAGAGCTTACAGCAACCTCAAACTCCTGGGCGTAAGTGATCTTCTTGCCTCAGCCTCCCAAGTAGCTGGGACTATGGGGGTCCACCATGACAACTGGCCATTTTTTTGTCTATTGTTAGCAGAGACAGGGGGCTCACTCTTGCTCAGGCTGGTCTTGAACTCTTGAATTCAAATGATCCACCCACCTTGGCCTCCATGCCTGGCTTGCTTACATTTTTATCTGTGGAATTCACTGACTATATCTATCAAGGGAAAAAGTGAATAGGCTGGGTACAAGAGCTCATGCCTGTAATCCTAGCACTCTGGGAGGCCAAGGAGGGTTGATCTCTTGAGTTTAGGAGTTCAAGACCAGCCTGAGCAAGAGTGAGAACCCTATCTCTGACTAAAAATAGAAAACTAGGCAGGCGCTGTGGTAAGTGCTTACAGTTCCAGCTATTTGGGATGCTCAGGTAAGAGGACTGCTTGAGCCTGAGAGTTTGAGATTGCTGTGAGCTATGATGCCATGGCACTCTATCCAGGGTGACAGAGTGAGACTCTGTCTCAAAAAAAAAGAAAGAGAGAGAGAATGAATAAATAGAAGAAAGAAGGAAAAGGAGAGAAGAAAGGAGGGGAGGGAGGGAGGAAGGAAGAGGGAAAAAGGAAAGAAAGAAGAACTTCTCATTTCTCTTTGTCTGAATTCCTTTTGTATTATATTTGTTATTATTTTCCTTATTAGCAACAGGGAAAACAGCCACCCATTGCACACTGGTGGGTCAGGCACTGGGATAAGTGCATTAGAAGCATTCATTCATGTATTTTATATGCATTTAACAGACAAGGAAAGTGAGTTTCAAAGACTTTAAATGATTTGTCCAAGTGTACACAGTTAACAAGTAGCAAGGCCAGGCCTTATATTTTAGTCATTTTTGATAGAAAAATCTGTGCTTTCCATTGTTTTGCTATACTGTCATTCATTGTCTTGAGAATAACCACTAAGTCCAGTGTTCAGGTCCTGCTGTCTCTAACATTTCCTTGTCCCACTATGGCAGACACCAGGGTGAAATGAATTATGTACTGTATGCACATTATATCTCTTCCACCTAATGGAGGCCTACAGCGTGATATGGTTTTCCTTTTATTGCAACACTGTATGACTGGATATCAACACAGGACCCTTTTCTGCTAAGCCCTCCTGCCTACTAAAGGACAGTCATTGCCAGATGGAATCTTATGTTTTCTGTGAGGTAGAACTGGGAACACTAGATAGAAAGAGAAAAAGGAACTTGCAAAGGCAGGTAGAGCGGACACCATCAGAGAGTATGGCTAGGTGAATAAATAATAAAGAACAAGGAGCAAGGATGGAAGACAGAGGAGGAAGGTCAGGGCTGAGGAACGCCAGGGAGTTGAGTTTGTGAAAGGCTCCAGAGCCCTCAAGAGAGAGGGAGAGTTTCTTTGAGAAGTGTTTCCTGAGGATTATATTGACTTGGTTGTACATTTCTTCTACAGAGTCAAAAAAAGACTGAAACTGTTCCATAATTGCTATTTGATGCCCGATGCCACTCCTTTTTATTCAGGCTACATCATTACAGCCCTGGCCAGACCGAGCAGCTTGGGAGAAAGGGCAATAGCCTGGCCTCTACCTCCATGGAGGCCTCACAAACATCTTCCTCTGAGTACATGGGGGTTTGAGAATAATGACAGAGAGATCTATGTCTTGCTTGGCCTATAACAGTCTCAGTTTACATTATTGTACTGACATAATTGCTCACTAGAGGAAGTTTAGAGCTGCCTTCCTTTTAGGTGTTCATTCAAGATAAAAAAAAAATACGGTGCATGATACGGCACCACAAGAGACCTTCTTCTGGTGAAAGAGATCACAGTCAGGCCACATGGCTTTGACACTCAGGGAGCGCCTTTCACTGCCAGCTTCAAGGTTACCCTACTAATTCAGCAAGGGACTCAGCAGAGTGTAGCAATGTCAGCAGTAAACCAGAAGACAGGGATGTGGGCTCTAAGGCCGTTTTAGCCCCGGTTGAATGACTCTGAATGACTTTGTTTCTTTCCTGTGCCTCACTTTCCCCATTTGTTAAATGAGAGGGATGACAATGTTAGATTCCTTACAGCTCTGACATTCTGATTCTATGAGTCGCAGAGATGGTGGGTGACAGATACAGGCCTTCTGACTGGGCAGCAGCTGTGAGTGGGACTGTTCTCCAAAGCTGTGGGTAATTGCTTCACATTTGGCTTTTAATATTCTATTGTTAGTATCTGATACTTTATATTCCATGTGGACGGAAGAGGTTTCACTGGAAACACAGGGAGGGTAATTTTTGGATTTGTATTAAGGAATTTGAAAGACCTCAATTTCTGAATCTGTGAAATTACATGACAAAGCTGTTAAATGTATCTGTGTAGGATAGGATAGGGTGGGGACGAGATGCCACAACTTAAAATGCAGTGAGATCACAACTGTCTCTCCTCAAACATATGCTTGATCAGAAACATTGGCAGAGCCACTGAAAATCCCTGATGCAAAACATCACTAAAAAAGAATCTGCCTCCAATATTTTAATATATGAGTTTTTAAAATGCAGTTTCTTGCTTATGATGAGTAGTTTTGATAAAACCTTTGACAATTTACAGAGCATTTTCATATGTTTTTTCACATTTAATCTTCAATACAAATCTGTAGGGAAAGAAGACACAAAGTATTATTTCCATTTTAGAGGAGGAAAGTGCAATTATGGACATGGATTGATTGATGGGTAATGGTGGATCCAGTGCCGTAAATCAGGCATTCTACCTCCCAAACCAGGAATTCTACTCATTGAGAAAGAAATAAATCATTTGTGTAGTGGAAAGGGTTTCATGATGAAGTTTGATATCAACAACTAATGAAACAGATTATAATTACCTGTGTTCTAGGAGGAGGAAGAAGAGGGGGAAGAAGAGGAGAAAAATGGCTAGCTAAGGCACCTTTCATAAAGGTCCAAAGAGTATGTGTATCGACGTTATATCGGGTACCTGTAACAAATAAGTGTACAAATTCCCCATAGCCATCTCAGACTTCTGATGGGTGAGGGGCAGCAAGTTGTGTGGCAAGTAACAGAATCAAATTAAATTTTAATCACTTTTGTTTTCATTGTATTTATTTTAAATCCTCTTCTTCAAGCAGTTTTGCTTTTAAGGTCGTAAGGGGAGCAGCAATCTGCATTGTATAAGACTACTCTCAGCTGACGGCTATGTACATGGTGTGAGTCCCGGAGAAAGTGGTGATCTAGCTGCACTACTCTGACCTGAGGGAGAGTTTAGAGATGAGACTCAGGGGCATGGAGAGAAA